CTCATTTGCTGCGTGTTTTCAACAGTTCTTATCAGTCTGCTGAGTCACCCTTGAGAAAATCCCTTTCCTTCTTTACGAAGCTAAAGCATAACTCAAATTCCTTCCTTAATTTCCATGTTAACGCCCGCATGCAGACTAGAAGTGATACAACCCTCCTGTGTCTGTGATCCACAGGCGGTCTTTCAGAAGAGGTCATCCATGTTGTGCATAACCAGCCAACATCAGACAATTCATTGATTGAGTGCGGTCAACTAATTATTTGATAAAATGTGGGTTTAGGAACACATTGTGGTGCAAAACAAACAGCTCAGCCCTGATTTGGAGCTCAGCACACTGAAAGACATTATTAAGAGCGGAAGAACGAAATGAAAGCGCATTGTGAAATACAAGATTCATATAGTTATAAGAAGCAAGGATTGTCTAGACACTAGACCTTATTAAGTTCCTGAGAAACCCCCTAAAACTCAGTGTGTGGGTCATTTGTACTATTTTACAGGCCTAAAGCGAAGCTTACCTGTGCTCTCTTGGGTGGTTGTTGACTTTACTAAGTGGGAAAATGACAGCTGGGCTCTAGTTAAGACGTGTGCTGTGGAAAAGAATGAGTTTAAAAATGCGTATATGTTTGTATGAGACAGTTACAGGGGGAAATGTGAGTGAGCACAAAAGATCCAGGTGTAAAAAGGCAATGATGGACCAAAGGAGAGAAAACAGGAATGCTTTTTCCCCATGGATTTTTCCTGGATTACTGGAAGATCCCCCCTTATCCAGAAAAAAAGACAAATACACAATATTACCAGTGCAAACAAGTGATGGGAGTTTCCTCAAAATTCTCTGTGCCAAGAAAAGCTTAGGGCATCCTCAACCCTTCTATAAACAGAACAAGACTGGTCAGGAAGAATTGGGAGAATTAGGAACATCAAAAACGCTGAATGTTCCTGAATCTGTCACAAAGATCACTCAAACTCAAATCCGTCAAACTCAGAGTTCGGCTCAAGTGAACATCTGCATGTAGCATGCTTGCATTTTTATGGCGTGACATCAGGGTATAATTTAGTTTTTCTGGAGACATGGGGACCAGAAATAAATAAATAATAATAAAGAGAAGTACCCTTATTTTGATGTGATTATAATTTTACCTAATGTTATTTGGCATTACATTTAAGGTTAATATACACTGAACAAAATTATAAATGCAACACTTTTGTTTTTGCCCCCATTTTTCATGAGCTGAACTCAAAGATCTAAGACTTTTTCTATGTACACAAAAGGCCTATTTCTCTCAAATATTGTTCACAAATCTGTCTAAATCTGTGTTAGTGAGCACTTCTCCTTTGCCGAGATAATCCATCCACCTCACAGGTGTGGCATATCAAGATGCTGATTAGACAGCATGATTATTGCACAGGTGTGCCTTAGGCTGGCCACAATAAAAGGCCACTCTAAAATGTGCAGTTTTACTGTATTGGGGGGTCCGGGGGCGTCCGAAAACCAGTCAGTATCTGGTGTGACCACCATTTGCCTCACGCAGTGCAACACATCTCCTTCGCATAGAGTTGATCAGGTTGTTGATTGTGGCCTGTGGAATGTTGGTCCACTCCTCTTCATTGCCTGTGCGAAGTTGCTGGATATTGGCAGGAACTGGAACATACGCCGATCCAGAGCATCCCAAACATGCTCAATGGGTGACATGTCTGTACTAAACTGCAACTTCATCATTATAAATCTGTAATCACAAATAAGCACATTTAACAATGTAATGTTGTAATATTATATAATAGTGTATATAATAGTGTAGTAATATAATAGTATTTCCATACTAAGTACTAACTAGCTTGATTAATGAACCTTATTTCCAAAGCTTCTAAAAGGGCAAAAAGCATCATATTTAAAAGCCTGCATGGCTCATGTGTAAGAATTATATTTGATATATATATGTATATTTGAGCCCGGTCTCATGAAAATGCGTATAAATAGTACGCCAAATAAAAACGAAAACTCGTTGTATTGATACGCAAAAATGGACTTTGGCGTGTATATGATACGCATGTGCTTGGCGTGCATATAATACGCCGTTTTCGCGTGCATATGATACGAAATTTGTTGGCGTGCATATGATACGCAGTTTTCGCGTACATATGATAGGCATCTACCCCACAACCCTAAGCGTTTGGTCTCATTCTGTATTGCGTATCTTGTCAGTGTTTGCGCTTGCTTGGCCATTTGTTGTGGAAAAAATAAGGAAAGTGTGTCCAGCTGAATTAATTTAGTATTTTGTTAGACGGGTATAAAAAAGCTTAGTTTACCGTGACAGCGGTCGCGGCAGTCGTCGCGTGTGGGCCTCCTCGTGTGAAGACCGAAGAGTGTAAAGACCATCGACTCTACCGTGCGACTCCACCGGGCAGGGACACCGGCAAAGGATAAGTATCGCTTTTTATTTCTCCTCTTTCCTACGGCAAGACGTGCATCCAAATGAGAGAGAGACCGCGAAGCTAGACGTTTCTTCTTATATTAACTAACGTACTCTACGATTAGCTCAGTGAATAATAACAAAAAAAACACAGACCCGGCTAGAACAAGCGGAGTGATGCAAAATTGTGAAAGGGCATTCCTGTAGCGATACCAGTACAATATCTACATATATGTAGTTGTTTTTTTGGTGTTTGGCTTAGTGTTATGTTAGAATCATTATTATACTCTTAGTCTTATACCTTTTGTTCTTTAATATTTTGAAATGTTTTTAGCTTTATTTTTTGTTTTTTATTTAGATGTTAAGTTTTGAAATTTTGTTGTATGCGTTTGTCATTTTTATTTAATTTCTTTATTTTTAAAATGTGTATAAGTAGTATTTATAAAGTTTTAGCTTTTATTTTTGGATCTGTTTTTAGTTGTTTTAATACTACAATTGATTGCTTCTGTTGTCCTCATTTGTAAGTCGCTTTGGATAAAAGTGTCTGCTAAATGACTAAATAAATAAATAAAATAAATAAATAATAATAATACCAGTGTTGTTTCTCTTTAGGGCGGAAATCCTGACTACTTATGAAGCCACACCATAAAAAGGAAATTTGTACTACGGTTCCTACAGTCATAAGATGATTCACATAGGATACATTGACTATCCAAATGTCTGTGAGAAGAAGCCTGGCTATTTCTGGATGTGATACAACACTGGTCAGTCTCTGTATGCCAATATGCTTCCTTTTTCTCCTACATTTGGAGCTTAGTCATAGGTGTTCTAGACGGATGACTGTCGTAAATTACCATGAAGAATCACCACTTGAATCATATCACATAAAACAAGTTATAGGTTATGACTTCCCTTACCAGAGTCTAGAACAAAACCATATTAACATACTAGTGCAAAATGATCTGTCCTGTCCTCAGATTTCCAATAACTTTGACTGAAATGAGTCACTGAAACACACTGCTAATGTAAAAGCCACTTCAAGCCTGTCTCAAGTAACAAACTGCTGGTCAGTTGATATGAAATGCTGCTTACTTCCAAGCAGAGCCCGATAACATGTGTCCATCAACTGACTGCAGAAAACCGCTACCAGATCAAGAAAGACCACATTTATTGTCTTATAAAACAGACTGACAGTGACAAATGAGCTTTGAAATAAACCCAGCCAACAACTAGAATGTCGCAACTCACACAAAAGCATCTCTGGCAACTGACCCAACAACTGGCCCATAGCTACAGTGAGCAGAGCCAGAAGAGTTTGTATTGTTATAATTAACTTAATTGGGCAACTCCTGGCCCCTGTAGAGGGAAGTTCACATAAACAAGTGAATCTTGGACACGAATACTCCCTCCATTAATGAGGTCTGTGTTTACTGAAGCAAACCACACAGAATCCCTGAGCATAAACAGACCCGTGGTTTGACACTGTGCTCAGGGTCACTATGAGCTTGATAGATGTCAGTTAAAAAAAAGTGTTGAAGGGCGATATCCAATAAAACCTTGCAAAAAAAAATCTACTGAGCAGCACCATCATTCATCTGGTACCGATGAATATACGATGGTACTCCAAGGTATTTAATTACCACAATAAATTAGCAAAATACAATTAATATTTTTTTCTTAGTGAGCTCAACAGTCCTTGACAATACAGTGTGCACTCCAGTGAAAGTTTTTTTTTCTACAGTAGACATTGCCACAGAATTTTTTTTTTTTAAACAAAATCAAACATTATCACTCCAAGCAGCATAAAAATAATAAACATTTTGGAACGATAGCCTGCACATTTAAGCTATTGAAATTAATATGGGGAATGTATTTTTTATAAGAATAAGATTCATTATAATAAATATTAATGTATTTGCATGCAAAAGTTTTACAAACGCAAAGGCCACAAAAACGTCACACTTAAAAATGTAAAATATAAAAGTATCATAAAATTTTTTCTAAAAAGAGCACCTTCAAAATGTTTGTTCAGCTATAAAATTATAGTCAAAGCAAATATCCTGCATGCTCAAAATAAAAAACTTAAAAAGAGTATTTGTTCACTAAAGTCACACACATGCCTGAATGTCATCACACTAGATAACAAAGTTTTCTGAGCCATTTTGAATGGCTTTTAGAACACTATTTTTCAGTGGATGCATGGAGTCAGTTCTCCTCAAGTTCACACAGGTGTTAGATGTCTTAACAGAGAAAACACAGGTGTAGATCACCACAGTAACTATGAACATAGAAGTGCCTGAATACTAGCCTATATTTTCATTTATTAAACAATAGCCTATACAATATCTATACGTTTTTGTTCAATTAAAAAGTGTGCTTGTGCTATCTTTTTTAATTGAATAAAACATGACACCTCAACAGAACTCATAAATCAAGCAGTTAAATGATTCAAACATTATTTAAATTCTTAATAAATTGTTGATCGATTAGCTATTATTGTTTTATATTAAAGACCCGTATGGATACTGAGATGGCATCGTATTTATCAAAATGGATACAAGAGTGAAAAAGGAAATGTAAACGTTGATCTTACCTAAATTGACAAAACTCATGACCATGTCCGCATCATGCAGGAACTCTGTGTCATGAGGTGAAACTAAAGCGGGTCGTGTGGTGGTGAACAGTGATCTGTACTGATCCACGTCGCTCTTCTCTTCAGTGGACATACTGTTGTACAGATCCAGCATGAAGAGGGGTGCTGAATTATATTTCAGATGCGGTCTGGGTCTGTGGTTCAGTCCCAGTATGGACAGAATCTCTTTCTGCATCTCTCTCTTCTCCTGAGTCCGCAACCTCCGATGCATGAAGTTGGGCTGAAGCTCAGATCCGTCCAGTACAGAACTGCTAGCTGCCAAATAAAAGCTCCACAAGAAGCCCAGCAGAGCAAACCAGACTCTTGTCATCTTTACATCCAGTCTGTGATGACGATGATGAGGGTGTATTCACTTCTAAATATAAAATCACTTGGAAGCCAATGTTTTTCCCTCTTCTCTTCTGCTTCAAGCCATATAGGATCTTACAGCTATAGGTTCTTCAATGGTTCTTAGGTTCAGCAAAGAACCCTTTTCTTATGAAGGACCATTTTGCTTGTATGGTTCGTGATTACATTATGGGGTCTTCAGATCTGTGCTGGTTTCTGGGTTCTTTACAGCACTAGTGCATAGATGGTTTTCTGAAGGAATATAAAGTTATTGAATATGTTATTCTATGGCATCAGGCTGTAAAGCCCCTTTGAGCTGTAACGGTCAACGATGTAAAACAGTATTATCCTGTGCAAAACAAATGCAGCTGTCCAGGTTGTTTTTCAATTCGCAAAATCTCCATCAATTCTTCGGCGTGATGCTTCGCTCCGGACAGAAGACAGCTGGAAACTTCTGTGTGTCCCATCAAATGTGAAGTTACTGTTAAGTGTGGTGAATAATTCACAACGATGAATAAAGAAAAAGTTATCCGTCACTTTTCCAATAAATGATTTCCTTACGAGCTATATATCTTCTTCGTTCAGTTCTTTGATTTGATTGATCCCTACAGACTGTATTTGTAGAGTGGACAGCGCGTCTGTCTCGGAGGCTTTTAAATAACGGAGTTGAAGCAGGTAGACGCGTCTCGAGCCCGCCCCAGTGTGCACGTCCAGAGGTGGAGCTTTAGAAGACAGTTTTAACATCCTCAAACTCGTCTTTGCGTAGGCTACACGTCTACGTGTCTTCTTTGTCAATGTAGATGACAATTTCAGCTGTCAGGTGTCTACAGTTTGCCTACGAGCGACGCGACGCGGCCGTATTCAACTTCTAATAGCGCGTCGATGACAATGCCATGTAGGCAGCTTCATTCGTCGTTGAACAATAGCGTTGTAGTTTTGTCGCGCAGTCGAAAAAGGGTTAAAATGGTACTTAGTTTAACGCCGTTTTAAAATTGGCTAGATAAGACAAGACGCAAGCCAAGTACCAAAAACGTAAGTTACAGCAGAACGCGTACTATGTAAACTAACTTCTGTAGTGTACATGCACTGATTATAATATTGTTAGTTGGTTTTATTATAGGCTAACAAAAAGCGTTCTAGTTGTGTTGCTTTAGGCTAAGTGTCGATGTAAACAATGGTATGCTGGCCAGTAAACTCATTTGACCGATATTTGCTCGTGAAAGGATACCATAAAGGCTTGTAGGTAGCCTAATTTTCCGAGTGATTAAAGTTACTTCTTTCTATAAATGTCACCACAAAATGTAATCGAGGCATTTTATGGCCAAAGCATGACCCCTAACGACACAGAAAATAACCGCAAGAGGCTGAGGAAAACAAACAGGACCAAACAGTACAGTTTAATGGTGTTAGCTACCATTCATTCATTCATTAATTTACTTATTATTTATGGCACCGTTGTAGGGCTAATTGTGTTGTACATGTACTATGATAATACCTTGTTTTTGGACATAATATAATATTCCTTGAAGTGCCTTAAGCTCTGGAATTTCATGGTACATACAGTAATCAATCAATATAAAACATTATGATTCAAAAAATGTACCATGATACCACTATGTGTATACATTTTTGTAAAGGTAAATATAGGCTATTTTTAATTTGGGGGGGTGCATATTTGACAGGTCACTAGAACCTGTATACTGAACTTGATTATTGTTTTATCTTGTGTAAAATCTTGATCACCCATCTTAGGTATTTTTAAAGGAGTTCTCTGATGTTTGAGATTACAGACATCAGACAGATAGACAGAAAACTGATGCTTGCGGTCAGGGTCAGGTGCAACGCTTTAAAGATGAGACACTCACTGAACTTACTATAATAAGAGTGATAACTCAGATGTTTATGTTATGGAGACTGATTTCAGAAAACACACACAAATTCACACACTATGTTGTGTCTGGTGAGATTCAGATTGATAAAATGGCTGTTAGTTGTTATCTCTTAAGTGGCTAATCTTATCTAGCGGGGCAGAAAAGCATGCATCAAAGCGACACAAACCAATCCCAGCCACCCCCTTCCCTTCCCTTCATCAGTCCAATCACTGATAGCCCATCACTCACACACACACACACACACACACACACACACACAGAGAGAGAGAGACATACTGGTTTCCATGCTTTATGGGGACATTCCTTAGACATAATGATTTTTATACTGTAAAAAAAAATGCAAACTGCATTTTCTATTCCCTTACCCTAGCCTACCCCTCACACAAAACTTTCTGCATTTTTAGATTTTCAAAAAAAAAACTGTACAACTGTCCCCACAAGAAGTGATACCAGTAAGTTTTGACCTTGTGGGGACATTTGGTCCCCATAATGTGGGAAATACCAGGTACACACACACATACACACATTTGTGCATTTAAATTGAAAAAAAAAAAAAATGCTTAAAGAGCAACACATCATGCCGCGATCGAAAGAAATTCAAAAACAAATGAGAAACAAAATAGTTGACATGTATCAGTCTGGAAAGTGTTATAAAGCCATTTCTAAGGCTTTGGGACTCCAGCGAACCATGGTCAGAGCCATTATCCACAAATGGAGAAGACTTGGAACAGTGGTGAACCTTCCCTGGAGTGGCTGACCTACCGAAATTACTCCAAGAGCGCAACGACGACTCATCCAGGAGGTCATAAAAGAACCCAGAACAACATCTAAAGAAATGCAGGCTTCACTTGCCTCAATTAAGGTCAGTGTTCATGATCAGGGCCGGATTTATGCATAGGCATTCTAGGCACGTGCCTATGCTTGCTCGTCCAGGGGGGGCCCAAACAAAAAGAAGAGATATATAATATTTTTGTTATACTATGGAATATCTACAACAGTAAAAGAACCAAAAACCCCAGAAGACATTGGGCAAATAAATATAACAAACAATAGGGTAAAATGACAAACTATTTCCACGTCTTCAACCTTTTTTATGTATGGAAATCACGCTTTCTTTCTCCTGTTCTCTCTCAGACACAATACAGTACAGACATGCACTCGCGCACACACGCGTAGATGCGGACAGAAACTTGTTGTCAGAGCTGCGGCTGCCCCGGGAATTTATCAATAAAATAGTTTCGCAGTAGCGAGGTTCTTGAAGCAGTTCAACTTAAAGATTCGCTATTAGTAGACGCTGCTGCTGAATACTGCTGAGAGAGCACAGAAGTATTCACACGCACTTAATCTCTCTCTCCCTCTCTTTCGCTCTCTCTCTCTCTCTAATAACTGCGTTAGACTGCATTAATAACTGCGTTAGCCTGCATATCAATGGCTCAAGCCTCTGTTATTAGCTCTAAAATGACGTTTTGGAATTTGCAACGGAAGGTTTGGGATGAGGTGCTTAAAAAATTAGCTAGTTCAACACACACGAGATTTCAGGACAGAAACATGTCAAATGTCTTGAAACAAATCATCTGAATAATTGATGTGTGATTGTGACTCCAGGCCGTTCAAATTATTAGAGAAATAATGCACTCCCGAAGTTATGTGGCCACGTCGCTGCACCTATTAATGGAATGATCTTTCTCAGTTCTCAAACAAATGTAACGAATCATCCACTGAAGGCGAGTTGAAGCGAGAACCCAAGTGCAGTTTATTTACAAGTGATCCAAACATCCAAACGATAATCCGAGACTTGACATGAACAGACTTGACTAGAACAGACTTGACTTGACTTGACATGAACAGACTTGATTAGAACAGACTTGACTTGGCATGGACAGGACTCACCAACAGCAGAGTTACAACATCAATACACGACAAGGGCACAATGGGAACATGAAGCTACTTATAGGAAACAAGAGGGTCACATGACAAGAACAAACCAATGGGAAACAAGACACATGACTAAGACAACCAATCAGAACATGACACAATGAACAGGGGAACTAATGGCATGAATACATGAGGGCAAGGGAAGCATGACACAAACAGGGACCATGAAACAATTACAAAATAAAAGACATGGAAAACATGAACATGAAACAACCCCCAAAACACCACATTACAACAAATTAAGAACTACATTTGATTTTTATTGACTGAACGCAAACGATTATTGCGATAGAAAACACTGTAACGGTTTCCACTGATTAAGAAATATTTTTGTTCGCTTGGGTGGTAATATTAGGCCTATTATATTAATAGGGAAAGGGGGCCCAAACCAAAGTGGTTATGTGTCCATGTCGCCGCACCTATTAATGAAATGAAATGCAATTAGTTTGAATTCTCAAACAAATTAAGAACCTACATTAAATTTTTATTGACTGAACGCAAACGCTTATTGCGATAGAAAACACTGTAACGGTTTCCACTGATTAAGAAATATTTTTGTTCGCTTGGGTGGTAATATTAGGCCTATTATATTAATAGGGAAAGGGGGCCCAAAAATTTGTTTTGCCTATGTCACGAAAAGAGGTAAATCCGGCCCTGTTCATGATTCAACAATAATAAAGAGACTGGACAAAAATGGCAAAAAGTTCCAAGGCAAAAGCCACTGCTGACCAAAAAGAACACAAAGGATCTGGCATAAAACCAACACAGCATTTCATAAAAAGGACATCATACCAACAGTCAAACGTGGTGGTGGTAGTGTGATGGTCTGGGGTGTAATGACTCAAAAAAAAAAAAAATGAAGGATTTGGAGTGGCCAAATCAAAGTCCGGACTTAAATCCGATTGTGATGCTGTGGCATGATCTTAAACAGTCCATTCATGCTCAAAAACCCTCCAATGTGGCTGAATTAAAACAATTCTGCAAAGAAGAGTGGGTCAAAATTCCTCCACAGCGATGTGAAAGACTCATTGCCAGTTATTGCAAACGTTTGATTGCAGTTGTTGCTGCAAAGGGTGGAAAACCAGTTATTAGATGTAGGGGGGCAATTACTTTTTCACGTAGTGCCAGGCAGGTTTGGACAGCTTTTTTTCCTTAATAAATTAAATTATCATTTCAAAACAGCATTTTGTATTTACTCGGGTTATCTTTGTGTAATATTAAAATTTGTTTGATGATCTGAATCTTTTAAGTGTGACAAATATGCAAAAAATTAAATAAAAAAACAGGAATGGGGCAAAAACCTTTTCACTGCACTGTATATATATATATATATATATATATAGCATTTTTCACTGTATATCTGGGTAATATTGATTTGCCTTTTTTAGGCAAAAGTAGTTCATGTGATTTGTACACTACATTCTAAATCTTCTAAAATAATACGATATGACAGATATAAATACTATATAAACAAATTAAAATGTTGAAATAAATAAATGAATAATAATTCTGGATTCAATATAATTTAGGTTTATGGTAAGGTGCTTACAAGTAAGGTGAATAGGGCCAATCAGAAAACCTTAAAATACTTACCGTTTTAGTAATATAGGCACAAGACATAAACAATATGCTTGTTATTGTTGAGTGTGACAGTGTGAAAAAAAAGAGATTTTCTGTACAAATTTAATTTATATAAACTTTTAAAACTTTGTTGCCACATAATGAATGTAAAACCCTAGAGTGTGTAAAATTGACAAGAACAACATATGCTTCTATTGTAAGTGTCTTTTTTCACAAATTATT